CTGGCTGCTGCTTTCATCGCGTATCTGCCTGCCGCTCCTGAAGACCAGCGGCGCAGCAGCCTCGACCACTGGATGAGCAGCTCAGGGCTACAGAGTAACACACACACACACACACACACACACACATTAATAAGTTAAAACAGTGACGAAATCAGCACACTTGTGCTGTCACATGTCAGTCAAACAGATAGTCCCGCCTCCAAACTCACGTCATTGGTCAGAAGTTGACACGTCACGCAACTCAAACTAACAGATCAATGTTTTGTGAAAATGTCACAGTGTTTCACTCTTTGGTAAGTCACAATACTGATTACTGACTTACTGTGACTCTGAACATTACACAGACACCACAAACTCGGTGAACATCCAGAAAATGACACACAACAGCTTTAACATGCAGACAGAAATCTTTGACCAATCAGGGAACAGTGTTTTTTAGTATTATTTATATTATAGTATTTATCTGTTATATATATTTCAAATATTTAGCTGTTCATTTTATATTTCCCGGTATTGTTTTAATTTTAGTTTTGTAATTTTGTTGTGATTTATTTTTTTATTTTTTTTACGTAGCTTTATTTTTATTTCAGTTTATTTTTAGTTGTTTTTGTACTATAAAGCTTAAACTTAAAAAAACTTCACCTAACTGAAATAAAATAATTTTTTCATCTGAAAATTTTATTTTATTTCACCTTTATTTCAATTACCAAAAAAAAAAAAAAAAAAAAGATTTTAAGTGTTTTTTTTTGTTTTTCGTCTAATATATTTTATTTTATTTCACTGACCCAAAAAAAAAAAAAGTATTTAATTTTAGTTTTAGTTAACAATAACAACACTGTCAGTAAACAGGAACACATGAACCAATCAATAAACACACAACATGTGACTTTGAAAACTTGTATGAGTATGTTTGCCGTGAATTTGAACTCTTCCTCTGATTGGCCGAGGCTTTAACAGCTGTGTTCTCTGATTGGCAGAGTTCGATCTGCGTCACTTCCTGTGTTCTGAGAGTGAGCAGCTGATCTGGAAGAGTGAAGGCTTGCCGTCTGACGACCTGTCGATGGAGAACGCTCTGGTCATCCTGCAGGTAACACACACACAGACCACTCTGTTCATCGGTGTTCCCAGCGTTCACTCATTCATCTGTCTGTCCTCATGCTGACATCAGATTAATGAAATCAGGTCACAGGTAAGATTACACACATGGATATTTACTTAGAAGTCTTCACTTTCCGTACTTTTCTATACTATACTATCAACTAGTCCTATCTCGGCTTTAACCCACCCAAAACCCAGAGGCCTGTTCACATCAGGAGACATCTGACAAAGAGCCACAAATTCCACATCAAAACTATGTCACACATGCATATTTGATCCATCATGCTTTTATGGCTCATATAGTCTGATGTAGTGAGAATATAGAGGAAAAACAGCTCAGTTTTATTCAGACTCAAACTGAGCAAAAATATGCAATTTGGTGCAGATGCTGATATTTATATGATGAAATTCTGCTGCTTGTGATGTAAATCAATGAGATCTTAATAACAGTATGGCAGATACTGACATAAAATGATCTAAATATCAGTCGTCGTTCTATATCTCCAATAATATGATGAGATTGAAATGCTCCAAACATATAATGCAGTGATTGAGAGCTGAAGAAATAAAGGCTCCTCAGAAGATGTGAGATGTTCTGGAGGCTTGTGAAGATCATTCCTCCGCTGAGGAACAGTGAAAGTAAAGCTTCTGGAAACAAACGCTCCTCAAAAGATCCTGAGGATCAGATTTGAGACTCTAAAACATGATTGATGGAGAATCAAGTAAAGCTGAGCTGCTTCAGTCCAGTAAGTGTTCATCTGGAGATATTACTGCAGTTATTCTGACCTTTACTTGATCAAAATCAGTCAAGATTTGACACGAGAAGCTCCAGCTGAAGCTGGACGTTTATACAAGAGCTTTTACTGGATAAAAAACTCTAAACTCTCAATCAGATGACAGAAGACATGTAGATTGCATTGCTGATCATTTAGAGGCCTTAGAAATGTGCGTATCAAATATGATACAGTAGGCTTTATTGGCTGAATCAAAAGTAAATGCACACAAGACCAGTAACATGCATTAAGAAAATAAATGGGAACATTTTTATCTTTAAAGCAAAAACAAAACATCTTGTCATATGTGGAAAGGAACTTGCTTTTTATTGATCTGTGAGTTTTTATAGCAAAACCTGACTTAAACAACGGAAAAAATGGGACTTGATTGCAAGCAGAGTTTCATTGTGTGAACAGGCCTTAAAATACAACTGTTGCCGTGAACGTCTTATTAACTACGTCTTAATTTTTGAAACATTTCCCCTTGTATAGCTGATTTTTTGGGATGCATGATCTCATCTGAACTGACTGAACCCTTTGACGTGTGTGTGAGAAGTTTATAATTAGCGTTCTTATGGAGTCTGGTTTCTATGGCGACCCACTGTGATGTTGCTAAGAGAACGAGTGAAACGAAAGAACTGGAAATAGAATCTGATGAAAGCTGTCAGGAACACGTCTGCACATAACAAATTATATTTTGCATAAAGAAATTAAGTTTAAGATTGAATGAATTCCGACATTATTTTTTATGGCAAACACATTTTCTCTCCAGTTTCTCATTGTTTGGGTTGAATATGATCTAGACATGTTCCTGATCTGGTTTTGTGGGAGGTATACTGTCACTGTTTGTGATTTATCTCATAATTAATGAATACATAATCTTCTCTTCTTTTCTCTAGAGTGCTTCTTGTCCGTTCTTGATCGATCCGTCCTCTCGTGCGACAGAGTGGTTGCGAACTCATCTGAAAGCGCATCGTCTGGAGGTCATAAACCAACAGGTAAAAACACACCGTCTGGGCTGCGTGTCAGAACTGTAATACTATATCCCACAATGCAGTGTACTCGCTATTCAATTCCAATTCAGTTTTCATTTTCCAATTTTAGTTACATTTGCAAGTTTCAATTTCAATTTCCAACTCATTTTGGCAAATATTAAGACGCTTTTTTTTTTAAACACAAAATTTGATTAATAATACAAAACAACCATTTATTTTTTAATATTTTAATCACACACACACAGACACACACACACACACACACACACACACGCACACACTCACATGCACACACTCACACTCTCTCAGACACGCATGCACGCACACACACATGCACACACTCACACACACACTCGCACTCACACACACTCGCACACACACACACACACACTCAGACACACACACACACACACACACACACACAGCAGATAGTGCTGGATTATTACTGCAGGCTTCACACTGAACCAACTGTAAAATCCCTGTAACACATTAATAGAAAAAATATATTAAAAAATTGCGTATGTTTTGTTTATATATATATATCATATCTGATTCATCAGGGCTCATATACTCATATAGTCTGATGTAGTGAGAATATAGAGGAAAAACAGCTCAGTTTTATTCAGACTCAAACTGAGCACAATTTGGTGGATGCTGATATTTGATACTCTGATGCTTGATGTAAATCAATGAGATCTTTATAACAGTACAGCAGACGCTGACATAAAATGCTATAAATATCAGCGGTCGCTCTATATCTGCAGTAATGTGTCAGTAAGATGAGAGTGAAATGCTCCAAACATATAATGCAGTGATTGAGAGCTGAAGAAATAAAGGCTCCTCAGAAGATGTGAGATGTTCTGGAGGCTTGTGAAGATCATTCCTCCGCTGAGGAACAGTGAAAGTAAAGCTTCTGGAAACAAACGCTCCTCAAAAGATCCTGAGGATCAGATTTGAGACTCTAAAACATGATTGATGGAGAATCAAGTAAAGCTGAGCTGCTTCAGTCCAGTAAGTGTTCATCTGGAGATATTACTGCAGTTATTCTGACCTTTACTTGATCAAAATCAGTCAAGATTTGACACGAGAAGCTCCAGCTGAAGCTGGACGTTTATACAAGAGCTTTTACTGGATAAAAAACTCTAAACTCTCAATCAGATGACAGAAGACATGTAGATTGCATTGCTGATCATTTAGAGGCCTTAGAAATGTGCGTATCAAATATGATACAGTAGGCTTTATTGGCTGAATCAAAAGTAAATGCACACAAGACCAGTAACATGCATTAAGAAAATAAATGGGAACATTTTTATCTTTAAAGCAAAAACAAAACATCTTGTCATATGTGGAAAGGAACTTGCTTTTTATTGATCTGTGAGTTTTTATAGCAAAACCTGACTTAAACAACGGAAAAAATGGGACTTGATTGCAAGCAGAGTTTCATTGTGTGAACAGGCCTTAAAATACAACTGTTGCCGTGAACGTCTTATTAACTACGTCTTAATTTTTGAAACATTTCCCCTTGTATAGCTGATTTTTTGGGATGCATGATCTCATCTGAACTGACTGAACCCTTTGACGTGTGTGTGAGAAGTTTATAATTAGCGTTCTTATGGAGTCTGGTTTCTATGGCGACCCACTGTGATGTTGCTAAGAGAACGAGTGAAACGAAAGAACTGGAAATAGAATCTGATGAAAGCTGTCAGGAACACGTCTGCACATAACAAATTATATTTTGCATAAAGAAATTAAGTTTAAGATTGAATGAATTCCGACATTATTTTTTATGGCAAACACATTTTCTCTCCAGTTTCTCATTGTTTGGGTTGAATATGATCTAGACATGTTCCTGACAGGTTCCTGATCTGGTTTTGTACTGTCACTGTTTGTGATTTATCTCATAATTAATGAATACATAATCTTCTCTTCTTTTCTCTAGAGTGCTTCTTGTCCGTTCTTGATCGATCCGTCCTCTCGTGCGACAGAGTGGTTGCGAACTCATCTGAAAGCGCATCGTCTGGAGGTCATAAACCAACAGGTAAAAACACACCGTCTGGGCTGCGTGTCAGAACTGTAATACTATATCCCACAATGCAGTGTACTCGCTATTCAATTCCAATTCAGTTTTCATTTTCCAATTTTAGTTACATTTGCAAGTTTCAATTTCAATTTCCAACTCATTTTGGCAAATATTAAGATGCTTTTTTTTTTAAACACAAAATTTGATTAATAATACAAAACAACCATTTATTTTTTTATATTTTAATTTGATTTTAATTGTATGTGTAATCATTTTGAACTTTTTATTTTATTTTAAGTCATGTCGTGTGAGAACCCCTGAAGCCGCTCATGTCCATGTTTATTTGATCTGGTTCTCTGTCTCAGGATGCTAACTTCATGACGGTGTTGGAGTTAGCCGTGCGCTTCGGTAAGACTTTGATCATTCAGGAGATGGACGGCGTTGAACCCGTGCTGTACCCGCTGCTGCGGCGAGATCTTATGGCACAAGGTGAGTACACTAAATCTGTATCAAATAATAACAATAATAATAGTCAGAATTTAGTGCAATAAAATGCACATTTGACAGTAAATCAGTGGCTTTGATTTGTGATGCAGATGTTAATTATTCATATTAACATCAGTTACAGTTGTGAAATGCTGACAGATTATTTATGCAGTTCACATATTTGGACATACTGTTTTCTTGAATCAGTTTTCAGATACTGAAAGTAACCTAAATTTTGCAGTCTAATTCAAATATTAATTTGCAAACGCAAAATTTCAGCACATGCATTGAATCCGATTGAGAAAGCAGTCAGATTTGGTTTACATGGCTAATATTTTGCCATTCAACAGATTATCTCCACCATCCCTTCATTTGAGTTCAGTCGGATTGATTGAGGTGTTTACATGCAGGCTTTTCAGTCATTATTAACGGATTATTAGGTTGCATATAAACATAGCCAACGATAGAAGTTCAGTCACCTCAGGGAGTTTCTGAAGGCAAACAATGCCAGATTTACACAGGAACTAAAACTGACATACATCTTGGTCCAAAAATACACTAAAAATTGTGAAATATTATTACAATTCAACTGTTTTCTATGTGAATATATAGTAAAACTGTAATTTATTTCTGTGATGCGCAGCTGTATTTTCAGCATCATTCCTCCAGTCTTCAGTGTCACAGGATCTTCAGAAATCAGTATAATATGCTGATCTGCTGCTCGAGAAACATTTCTGATTATTATCAATGTTGAGAACAGTTGTGCTGCTGAATATTTTTGTAGAAACCGTGATACATTTTATTTGTCAGGATTCATAGATGTATAGAAAGTTCAAAAGAACAGCATTTATTTGAAATTGAAATTATTTGTAACATTATAAATGTCTTTACTGGCACCTTTTATTAATTTAATGTATCCTTGCTGAATGAAAAGATTAATTACTTTAAAAAAAATCATATTGATCACAAACTTTAGAATGGGAGTGTTTGTTCTGATTGGTTGTGATTTTGTCATTTCACTATGATTTAACTTTCAGTGAGAACAGAAGAATTAATTGACGCTGGAAACGTGTCGTGTCACACATGAACGCGGAGTTAGATGCTCCTTTAGGAAACACACACACACACACACACTGCGCTTGTAGTGTGTTTATCCTCCTGTCCCAGCTGTGTGTATGAAATAAGACCCGCGAGCATCTCTGAAGCCTCCTCCATATGCTGCTGTGTGTGTGTGTGTGTGTGTGTGTGGAGCAGATACGGCTGAGTCTATCAGGGACCGGCGGGAGGCAGATAAACCAAGAGCTTTTCAGTGCTTGGATGAGGAGAGAAAGAGAGAGGGAAATTAAAGTGTGTGCTCAAACTGCTGCATTGCAGACGTACAGAAGAGATGACACACACACACACACACACACACACACACACACACACACACACACACACACACACACTCCCACTCACACAGACACACACACACACACACACACACACACACTCACAATGTTGTGTTCTGTAGCATCCAATCTGGCAACCCCACAAATCCTCCTCTTATGAAATGAGGGATTCCACACCAATCTGGGCTGCATTCATTAATGCTGTTTTCACACTGCTTCATACTCTGCTGAGTTTGGGGATTTGAGGTTTGCATAGAATCAGTGTTATTTTAGTATTATTTGTATACTGTTAGAGTATGTATTCATATTTTGAAATAGCTTTTATTTTTATATTTATAGTTTTCATATTTATTCATTATATGCTTTTGTCATTTTTTTTGCCTTATTTTTTTATTTCAGTTTTTAGTACTTTAGCTTAAACTCAGTTTCGAAACTTAAGTTTAGGTTTTTCATCTAATATTTATATTTAATTTTATTTCAATTACTTGAAAATAATTTTTAATTGTTTTAGTTTCTGTTAAAAACACTGCAGAACACACTGCATGTAATGCTGTATCCCACAATGCAGTGCACTCAACTTGTCTTGTTATTTCCAGCGAGACATGAATTGCAGTGCAATTCAAAAGCAATTTCAACTTATTTTTTTGTTCTAACATCTCGTCAACTAATTTTTCAATCCTACTATCAAATGAAGATATTTTATATTTTATTTTGTTTTAATAGAAAACTTTTGATATTTTTTATTTTAATTAATTTTAATAGAATGTCTTTACTGTCACTTTTGATCAATTTAATGTATCCTTGCTAAATAAAAATATTAATTTCTTTAAAAAAAAATAATAAAAAAATCATATTGACCCCAAACTTCAGAACGATAGTGTTCTGATTAGCTGTGATTTTTATTTTATTTTATTTTATTTTATTTTATTATTTAAATGGTAACTGGCTGCCATTCATTGAATTATTCATAGAATGCTATAAAGTCATTTGCCAATAAAATGTAGCGTACTATTTTTCAGTTAGCAGTGCTCTAGTATTTCATTCTGAACCTGATTCATTGTGCTGTTTGTGTGTGTGTGTGTGTGTGTGTGCGTGTGTCAGGGCCGCGATACGTGGTGCAGATCGGAGACAAAGTCATCGACTATAACGAGGATTTCCGTCTGTTTCTGGCGACCCGTAACCCCAGTCCCTTCATCCCTCCTGACGCCAAGTCTGTCATCACAGAGGTGAACTTCACCACCACTAGAGCAGGACTGCGAGGACAGGTAACAACCGCACACTCACTTATCATAAACCAACTGCTCTGGCCCCATAAAGCTCATCATCATCACATATGTGCGTGTTCAGCTGCTAGCATTGACCATCCAGCAGGAGAAACCAGAGCTGGAGAGCAAAAAAACCAAGCTCCTGCAACAGGAAGAGGAGAAGAAGATTCAGCTCGCTCAGTTGGAGGAGTCGTTGCTGGAGGTACCGAGGCACCAATCCCAGAATGCTCTTACTGTAGTTTACTGGAGGTTTTTTCTCCATATACTGCGTTTTGTGTGTGTGTAGACTTTAGCGACCGCTCAAGGGAATATCCTGGAGAATAAGGAGCTGATTGAGTCTCTGAACCAGACTAAAGCCAGCAGCGCTCTGATCCAGCAATCACTGACTGAATCGCACCGCCTGCAGATGTCACTCGACCAGGTGATGCTGGGAAAGAGTGCGATTATGAACAAGATAGTAGGGATGAAGGAAACAGCAGGTGGCACCAGTGTAACATCAGTCTCTCCGTGTGTCTGTAGGAAAGAGATGCGTACTTGCCTCTAGCCGAGACGGCCAGCAAGATGTACTTTGTGATCACGGATCTGTCCAAGATTAATAACATGTACAGATTCAGCCTGGCCTCGTTCCTGCGACTCTTCCACAGAGCGCTGCAGACCGAACAGGTGACGTGGAAACACACTCGTCACGCACTGACAAAATAATGAGTTACTCAGTAATAAAGCTAACTGTGTGTGTGATGCAGGAAAGTGAGAGCACCGATGTGAGGATCTCCACGCTGGAGAGCCATCTGAAGAACATGGTGTACGAGTATATATGCCGCTCACTTTTCAAGGTAACACACACTGAACCCCTCATTACATTGCCATAGAGATGCCACCGTCCACCTAAAAACACCAGCACCAATCAGAGCCCTTATGTTCCCATAGCAATGACTCTGCCCACTTAAAACCATACAGCATCAATCATCTTTTTGATGACAGGTTTTTGTAATGACCAGAGCAATGTGCTCTGAGCAAATGATTCGTTCACATGACTTGAGGCTAAATTAAATTAAATTAAATTTTTAAATACTTTAATAAATTAAAAATAATCATATGAAATTGAAAACATAAAATATAAAAAATATAAATACATTTTTATCAGATTAATAAATAAAGTTTAAAGTAATACATTTTAAATAAAATATAATAATATAGTAATATAATAATTATATTTAAAAATTACAATTATAAAATTTAAATGAAATATAAAATATAAAAATAAAAGCTCATTTTAAATATTAATAAACACTATAATACTACATAGATATTGCTAAAAGTTTTTTATAACACTACACTTTAATATTATAAAATTATTTATTTAAAAAAGGCTGTTTGGAAAGCAGTTTTTTAGGGTTGCTTCATTTGCTAGCTGGCAGAATAGTTTTGGATGTTAATTTCCTCATCATTATCCCTGCATCATTCATCATATCCTGCTTACTTTTGCCTGTGAAATTTTGCAGAGCATTGGTAAATGTGACTTTAGTCTTAGTGTCACAACATATTTTAAAGTCCAAAGTAATTTAATTCAATGCATTTATGCCACCGAAAGCTGAAGTTAATTTAAATATATATATATAAAATTTTTCTAAATGTGTAATAAATAAAATGCATGGCTATCATATGATATTTGTAAATGAAGCCAGATTGAGATCTAGCCAGATTGAGCTGTTGTTTTACGTGTTAAGGAAACCAATTTTTCCAGCACAGAACCTGCTTTTCTTTAGTGCAAAGCATGAACGAGCCTCCAGCACTGGCACTGTCTCATATTCATTCATTTATGCATTTGGCAGACGCTTGTATCCAAAGTGATTTGCATTGCATTCAAGGTACACGTTTTCTCAGTTCATGCATTCCCTGGGAATCGAAAGTGTGATCTTTGCTATGCTAGTGCTGTTCTCATCTAAAATGCTGAATTTGTGTGTGCGTTTACAGGCGGATCAGTTGATGTTTGCGCTGCACTTTGTGAAGGGAATGAACCCAGAACTGTTCCAGGAGAACGTAAGTGTGTGTGAGCGCTAAACTCTCATAACCGATCCTGAATGAATGATGACGTTTCTATTTCGGGTCGTCTACAGCTACCCCAGCGGCTCTGACAAGACAAATGTGCTGTTATTAGTCCTGCCAGTAAAGCGCAATGAAACCAAATCACTTGTGTTTGTTTGTGTTCTCATGCAGGAATGGGACGTGTTCACTGGCCTGATCGTTGGAGACATGGTTCGCAAGACAGTATGAATGTCTTCAATCTTTTCTCCATAAAATAACACACATCTCTTCTCTTCAGTTGTAGAAACTCTCTCTGTCTTTCTTCAGGACTCCCAGAAGTCTCTGCGAGAACAGTTTCCATCTTGGATTGATCAGGAGAGGCTGATAGCCGTGGCTCTGCTCAAGGTAATAAAGGCCTTATGATTTCCACAATGTGGAAAACGTGAATGGAATTACAGAATATGAATAAATCCGGAGCTGTTCTGATTGTCACTTCACCAGCATTTCACAATTTCATTTGAGAAAAGCTATCATCATATCACACACACACACAAAACTCAGGGCAGAAACTTCATGGCAACCCGCCAAAATAAAAGTTCAGTTTAACATGAGGAAATTGTGACAGAAATATATTACTATTGTGCATATATATATATATATATATATATATATATATATATATATATATATATATATATATATATATATATGATATTTTATTTAGTTTTAATTTTAACAGTAAACCTCTGTTGTGCAGAATTGTTTGCCCAAAAAAATAAATGTAATAAAAAAAAGAAAAAAAATTCCATTTGGTTACAATTTTAAATATTAATTACATTTTTTATGTGAATTTATTATATGAATTTTCGCATGAAATGTTTATAATGTGTAATTGTTATATGCCTTCATTTGATTGCCACCATTTTTGATAAAATATAAGTGTTATAATATTATGCTTTTTGATTACTAAAATGTAATTTTGCCGTTAAAAACCAGAAACAAAAATAAACAGAAAATTATGAAAATGGAATCCAGAAAATGACTATTATTTATTTATTATTTAATTTACTCTAAATTAAAGAAACAAATTTACCTTTTAATGAAAATTTTGTTTAAACGGTAAAACAGAATCCAGAAAAATGTAATCCAGAAATAAAATGGGTTTCATTGGGTCCTAGCTAATCAAACTGAGCCAGACGTTTGACTTTGTCAACTAGTCGAACCAGGGCTTTCCTGTAGCTCAAACAGTAGAGCATTACTATGGGAAGCAAGAACTGATCAAATATAAAATGTGTATCTTGAATGCAGTGCAAGTCAATTTGGATTAGAGTGTCTGCTAAATGCATGTAAATGACTATTAGCATTGGTTTTACTGTCTTTCTCTAGTATGTTGACCAGTCGGTTTTGTCTGTGTCTCCAGAGCACATTTCCAGTGCTGTATCAGTATCTCTGTCTGAACGACTCAGACCTATGGCTCACGTTCTCACACAGTTCCTGCTGCGAACAGGAAATCCCGCCCCCCATTGCCAAGAAGATCTCCCTCTTTCAGCAGGTGAGCTGTCAATCAACAGTCTGCACCAATCAGAGTACTCACAGAGTACTGACTCTTTATTTCTGTCTCTTTCACAGGTTTTGGTGGTTCAGGCGTTACGGCCGGATCGCTTACAGAGTGCGATGGCAGCTTTTGCATCTCAAGCTTTGGGTAAGTTCAGAGAGCGACGGCACACACACACACAGCTCAGAGTCAGGCATGGATAAGATATCTGACGGCTGACTCTCCCTCTTTGTCATCAGTTTGTGTCGAGCTTTTCTCTGGTGCTTAATTATGATTTACAGAGTGAACTCAATGCGTATGTGTGTGTGGTCGATACAGGGATATTGATTTAGGTTTAGTCATCAGCTTATTATAACTTTCAAATCAGTCAAGTGTAAAACCACACACACACAATTAGTGCTGATTGATGCTCTCTAGGGCCACTTGCAATGAGACACAATTAAAAACACAAACACAACATTCATCTCCTTTACCTGCAACACACACACACACACACACACACACGAATACTACAAAATCAGCACACACAAACACACACGAGTAGGTTTATAAGACTGTCGATGGATGGATGGATGGATGGATAGATAGATAGATAGATGGAGGGATTGAGAGATGGATGGACGGATGGATGGATGGATGGATGGAGGGATGAATGAGATAGAGAGAGAGATAGATAGATAGATAGATAGATAGATAGAGAGAGATGGATGGATGGATCGATATATACAGTATATATATGGATTAACAGTTGGATGGATGGATGGTTGGATAGATAAAAAGATAGATGATGGATGGATGGATGTACGGATTGATAGATGTATCAATAGATGGATGGATGGATAGATAAAAAGATAAATGATGGATGGATGGATAGAAATATAGATGATGGATAGATAGAAAGATGGATGGATGGATAGAAAGATAGAGGATGGATGGATGGATGTTTAGAAAGATAGATGATGGATGCATGAATGGACAGATCGATAGATGGCTCAATAGATAGATAGATCGATTGATGTATAGATAGAAATTGTTTGAGCTGATGATGTTTCAGTTTCTCAAGCACTAAAATGCTGCATGTGTATGGAGTTTGTCTTTCTCTCTCCTCATCCTCTCTAGATTTATTTCAGTTCATTTGTTCTTTTATTGGTGTTTTATTAGCTCGTCTAATGATTCCAGTGAATCACAGCAGTTGCACTGATGAGCTCAGGTGGGACTGTAGTGTCAGGCACATAAAGCAGCCGCTCACAGATGTGAGACGTGTGTCAGTACAGCAGTGATGGAGACGAGTGTCGTGTTTCAGGTCTTTATGATGAGGTAATGAGCGTCAGCTGGGATCCCAGACGTGTCTCTGTCAATCTGAGATGTAGGCCGTGTCCCAATTCACATCATATCACTCCACTATAGTGCACTTTTGGGCTGATGCTATCCACAAAGAGAAGAAGAGTGTTTTTGACATTGTTGAGGGTCAGTGTGAGGCTCTGCCAGCAGAGGGAGTTTCTCTCTGTTTTCTTTCTGAAGAGTCTCTCTTCAGCTCTTGGTTTTGAGGAACTTGATGGGCTGATGGTGTTTTTTTGGGATATCCATTACAATTATTGACTCATGCTTGGACTTTATTTCTGATGTCCTCAAACAGCAGTTTATCTCATTTGTAGAGATTTATTGGTGGACTAGCAATTGAACTCTTGACAGAAATGTTTTTTTAAAATCCTCTACTTTTCTCTTTCAATTCATCAGCTGTGAGTCTAAAACTCTCGTAGGTCTGTGCGCTAAACATTTAAGCTGTCTTAAGTAGGCATTACCGCTGCAGCACCCCCTGGAGTGTAGTCAACGAAAAAATGGTGGTGCGGTGTTAAAAATAAATGAATGAACAATATGTAATACAAAATAAATAATATTCATTTTATTAATTAGTATATTCATTAAAATTCATTAAAAAAAGTAGCCTAAGCCTACAATGACAAGAAGCAACGGTTAAATATGAGTTAAGTTGAATCAAATTGACTGTGAAAGTCGTTTCAACTGATTAAACGTATTAAACTGACTTTAAAAATAATTTGTTGCCATGATTTTTGGATTATATTATAACCTGTAACATGTCTCTGCCGTTCCCAAATTAAGAATTAACGATCATTTCTACAGACAGCAGAGAAAGAGCAAGAGTGTCTACCTCAGCAGCAACAAATCTCGCATTCTCACATCTGTAGCACTTAGTTTGATCTTTAACGTTAGGTCTTTCCTATTCTTGAAACAAAATTAATTCTTAAGGTTGATTCAGTATTGCTCTTAATGAAAAACACACACACACAGCATCAACAATGCTACAATGACAAAGTCGCTTATATTAAACATAAAACTTTTATGAACAGATAAGAACAAATAAGATCAGTGGCGTAGCGTCTGGTTATGCAGGGTATGCAGGTGCATATGGGCCCAGGCAGTTTGGGGGCAACGAGGGAATGAATAGAGCCCTGCACGGCCCTTGTCCAACAGCTTTATGAGAATTCTCGGCCGAGTCCGACTGGATCCCGTGTCTTTTTTCTCTCTTTCTCTTCCCCATTACACAGCTATTAAAATAGTTCAGTTTTGGTTTTTAATGGCAAAGTGGTCATATTTCTTTTTGTTTCTTTAAGTTAATTTAGAAATATGTTTGGAACATTTTATATTTGTTAAATTCAAGTTTTTTTTTTAAAGGAACGACCAAGCGGCAGCGGCAGACAGTGAGTTGAGCGTTATGGTTGATCAATTTAGCCTTCTCAAACCAACACGACTTGCCTAAAATAAACAGACATAAAACACTTTGCATGCACGATTGGACATGCATTTCACAGTATTAATTTAAACATTTAACCAAGATAAATGAGTGCTGTTAGGCGCATGTCCAATCGTTTGTGTGGAGAGTGGACGCTAAAGCGCGCGCTGCAGGACATGGAGGCGCCAGCGCGATCACTTGCATTTTTTTTTTAAGAACAGCGGAAACTTAAAAATACGCCGTCATTTTTGCTCATAAAGGTAATAGTATACATCATTCGGAACTGCAAAGGGTCTACTTGTATTTGTGTGCACTCATAATATCAACAAAACCTTGTGCTTTTGTAAAATAAGGAAAACAAACAGGATATGCGCTTTCTGTCCTCTTAGTCTTAAGCAGGAACGCTTCACCGACATGATAAATATATTTATAGAATGCTTTAAATTACTATTTCAAAACGAAATAATTCAAATCGAAAACAAAAACTTTCATTATGTAATCCGTAAAGATGCATTTCTCTCTAAAGGCACGTCCAATGAGGATGGATAGTCAACATTGACTCAGTTTATTAACAAATAATTCAAATATCCCCTCACTATTTTTGACTTTTTTGTTTGTTTTTTATTTTATTATAATTGTTTTGTTTGTTTGTTTGTTTTTTGGGCTGATGTGCCAAAATTGTGTTTGCATTCAGTAGCCTATAGGGCAAAATTTTTGTGCCATGTTTAAAAATAACTAAATAAATACAATTGTCATAATGTCATAATATTTTAAGAATAAAGTTAAAATTAAGATAATAAAATCATAATGTGAAAATTCCACCCATAGGCCTACTCCTCCAAAAAAAGAAAAAAAGTCTGTGGCATCCGTCTTTTTACTTTTTTTAAAACTCTGATTGATGATTCATGAGACATTGGTTTGTATTAAGTTGTTCTGATTTTTTTCAACATGCATTCACATATTCATGTTTATTTCGTGCTGCAAATATTAAAGAAGAAGATATAATTGATTCATATGCAGCTTGAACTGAGGCGAATTCTCATACACATGTTTTGCATATGCGCCTGGGGCTGACTTGCTACGCCACTGAATAAGACTGATGTACCCGCGTTGTAACACAAATAAATGTAAGGTTTTGGGATTTTCCCCTTACTTTAAATGCATGCTTATGGCTCATTATTATTAATCGAAAAAAACAACAACAAAAAAAACATTAAACTTTGAACTTTTATTAACAAAATAAATAAGGATATGTTTTACTCGCGTTTAACACAAATAAATAGCCTATGGATTTCCCCTCAGGCTACCTTAAAACGTTCGTAGTTTGTGGTTTATTATCTTATTAATTAAAACACATCAGTCATAAAATAGTACAATGACAAATTCGCATATATTAAACATCTACCTTGCATTGACAAAATGAATAAGATGGATATAGCAGTTGAATGCTTTGTTTGTGGTTCATTGTTATTTTTTTAATGAAAACCCAGCAACAAAGACACTCACTTATAGGCTATTAAACGAATAAATGAAAGTTTTATTAACAAAAGTTGCGCTTTGGATCCGCCATCATATAGTGTCAGTCTTCTCGCATCACTCTTGTCACGTGACCCCCCCCCGATTTATTTCTCAGCCCCCCCAGCTCAAAATACGTTATACGCGGCTATGTAAGTAATGCTTGTAAAGATTTATTCATCTAATAACTTTACGGTTTTAGTTTAGATCATGTCAGCAGGCAGCAGCCCTTCCGTCAGCAGAGCACAAGTGAGTCTGAATTCAGACAGACGATGAAGCTGTTCTGATCGATTTGGCTATTTGTACATTTCAGTATCAAATCAAATCAGTCCTAAGCCAAAGCCCTGACTCACTCCACTACCTGTTTGTGCTGATCGATCTGATTTTACACTTGGTGTGTTTCTCCAGTCATGAAGGTTACAGAAGTTTAGAGGCAGAAATAAAAAATAATACATAATATAGTTTCATATTATATTTTAATATTAATTTATAATATATACTGTAATTCTAACAATAATTTTATATATAAAATATAATTTATAGAATTTTAAATAATGTATTATTATTATTGTCGTCGTTGTTGTTTTTGTTGTTTATAAGAAACATTGCAAAATGTAGTTTCATATATTTGTTTTATTTCAAATATTTCTTATTTTTTATTCCAAATAATTTATTTTTATTTCAAATATTTTTCTATACAATCTTTTCTGTAAAAATAATTAATTTTATATAAATATGAAATACATGAAATGGCAAAGTATCGTTTCATGTATTTCATATTATTTATGACTTTGTGTGTGTGTATAAATTAAAATTTTTATATATACAGTGCAATTTCATATACTTCATAACTTCATAATACATATGACATGGTTTATAT